TTGCAGCGCTGAACAACAAACAGGATGGATTAGTCATATTCAATCTAAAAAACACCTGATCTGTTACTTCTAGGATCGCAGAGAGGAGGTAACATATGTAGTCTTAGTGAACTTATGCTGCAAAATCTAAATGAAGGATCCCTGGATTTTAAGACAATCAGGTATCTTTTTACCATTTTTACAAAAAATGATTTGGTCTCATTTCGCCAACACCTTGCTTCTCAAGAAAACCCAGAGAACAAAAATATCCATGGGATGGTACACCTTTTGGGGTGTACATGCCATAGTGCTCAGAACTGATGTCGTATAACATGGCCACAGCAGATCCACCTTAGTCATTTTCCATTTGGAACTGCCTGTATATTTTGGTTTTCAGATACCGAAATCAAAATGGGAATTTAGCAGGTCTGAACTCTGATGGCTGATTAGAAATGTTCATGATAAATCAGAGATTGTCAGAGACGCAAGTATTAGGTTTATTAATAAATAGTAAGCTGATATTCACAAAGTGAAGCTGTCAACAGTCACTGAAATCCGCCTTCTGTCAAAAACTGGTTCAAACTTAAGCGAATTAAATGCTGACAGACAAATTTAAATAGCTGTCAGAGCTCCAGATAAGCTTTTGGTGTTGTGGGTATTTTACCCATGCATTTTAAAATCATTGGGTATCTGTAATTGTATCTGGGTATTCAAATTTCTGTTACCCACTAGTTTTTACACAGGTGGGTATTAAAGTGAAATATTTAAAAACACTATTCATCTAGTCCCTGCAAACTGGTGTCGTGTGGGTTCGAGAGCTTTATAGGACTCAAAAATACCACGATACTTCCATAAGAAAGTGCGATAGCAAATGATCATGATGTAACTGTCATCTTGGAGTTTGGCAAGGTTGACGGAAAGCCTGTTTATAATTTCAAAATAAGTTACTGATTTGCTAATCGAATATGCAGGGTTACTTCACAATATTTTGATGATATGCACAAGTTTTCTTTTTGTAGCGTTTCTGTATTGTTCGTTTGCGTATTTGATACGCTTGGATTTTATTTTACTGCGTATTTCTGCATTTCTGATGCGTATTTTACGCAGATACGCAGTTTATCTGGGGCTCTGAGCTGTTTTAATATACCAAACTGAAATGACATGACCAACATAATTTGCCAGCGTCAAGGAATTTTCCAGTCCCTTTGAGTCTTTAATGTCAGGCAGATACAGAATCCAACTAACACCACTGCTATTCAGTAGGTAATGACCCTTTGCTTCTGTTTGTCCAAGTGAACATGCTACCCCCATGTTAACCAGACTCACATGGTTGTTCAAAGTGCCATCTAATCTATGTATTGTGGCCCCTGTTGGAACTATCTTCAGATGAAGTTGCTATGTACACCTGTACATAAACAGCCTGTCAAAACATACAGTCAATGCATTAGGTGGTACTACTGCTTTCTTATGGACAAATGAGTGGGCTTTAACATCACTGAACAGGGTTTCAGATGGCTGTCGGTCACCGGTCATAGACCGATAAAATATCAGATGGTTTGCTTAAGTTGCCGGACTTCTGACCGATAGAAATGCTAAGCAAGGTGTCAAATGTTTCATAATTTCATGATTAAAAAGTTAATAGTAAGGATTATTCCTACTTACAGTATGGGGGGGAAGAAGAAGAAATGAGGTTTAAGGCAATATTGCTCCCAGACCCAGCGGGTAGCCAGGTACACAGAAATATTTCGAAATATTACTGAATCTGCCAATTTTGTTCAATTGACTTAATTGACTTATTACATTTCTCGGGTCCATGTCATTGACCTACATATAGCCTTTTGTGTCAAAATCACTGCATAATGAAATAGTCCATGAAATAGTTTGTTGTTTAACGCCGCACTCAGCTATAGCCCAGCTACATAAGCAGCGACCTGTAAATAATGGAGTCTGGGCCAGACAATCCAGTGATTGATATTGTGGGCAATGATTCACTCTGGGGTATGACAAGCCATCGCCCAAGTCACCAAGTCTGAACACCTGATATATTTTGTTGTCCCTTATACATGTTATAACCAGGGAGACCAACCTTAAACAGGAATTTCCAGGGGGTACGATTTTATTTGTCTTTGACTACTTAGAAAGGGACAATAAACCGATGTCAGGGGTTTAATCTAGATCTGCTCATAGGCCAATATTTGGCCGCAAGTCTGCAGAAATAAAAGTAAAAATTCCCAAATTTGAATTGCAAATTTCCCAACTCATGTAATAACTAATGCAACGGCTTTATAGAGATTGAATTTCACTGACCAATTTATGAAAAGAAATTGTTTCACAAATTGCCAGCCAAAGGCTCTTACTCTTAGTTTGGAATTCTAGATAAATCCCTGCATTATAACACATTATATTATGGCCTCATTAGAAATTGTTTTTGTCCCTGTTTCAGCAACTGAGACCTGACTGTGATTTGACTACTGGTAGCCTAAACGTGAGGTTGACACTGTTCCATGTCAACACATACTGATGTTTATATGGAGACACTGATCCCAATTTGTGACACCTAGTTAACCCAGACTCTCTGCCCTCATCACAGTCACTGTAACTCCTGGCAACTCTAGGTCAGACTCCATCAAATTTAGGGGCCAACAATATAGAATACAGGGATTATTGTGAAAAACAAAATAATTTTTTCTTTCAGTGTGTCACAGTCTTTGAGAGATACAATTACTTTCCTCGATGACTGATTCATTCATTCTCCACAGACGACAGACTGGCACAAGGTACATTACTGACAAACCAAGGCACACAATTACAGTGTACCATGAATTCAAACCCACAATCTGTCTGTGCCAAAAACATTTGAGTCTACTGACCTGAACTTGGCAAAAGCATAATTGTCTACAGATTTTAATGTTAATATTATACTATTACAAGCTGAGTGAACTAGACCAAACAGAATGTTACTAGGCTCAGGCGTTGGACTGTTTGCTAAAGTGGCCGACTGTGACCATTCAGCAAAGGAATGCAACTCTTTATAATGGTATGTCATACCCGAGACAAGAAATTTTCATGTCATGTATTACCAGCTTACAGTGTACAGTGATTTGCTTGAGGTAAATGGCACAGATTTAATCAATTACTGATCATATAGATAGAACACTCTTGATCATAATTAACAAATTGGAGAGAAGTACATTTTAGATAACAACCAATCTATCCTAGAACTTTAACATGATTTGTTTTAACTATACTGACTGTCTTTCTATAGCTGCATGGTATAGACCCAAGAAATGATACGAAACCTAGGATATCCAGTCATGTTAGTAATGAGTAAGATCACATTTATCATGTACATATTGACTGCTACATGGTCTAATCGCAAGAGCGTTCACCAATAAGGGGATAAAACAAGGACTTGAAGTCAATATGCTGTGTCTGAGTGGGTTACTAATGTTAAACTGTGGCATGGTATCTCAGTGGGCTAGCACTATAAAACTGGCATAAGTCCAGGCTAGTACAAGCAGCCACACATATGTATATACTTTGCTATTGGTGAAATAATCTTGAACCCTATTTCACCTCGCCACATGTACACTTCTTATTTATCACAATACAGGATGATATTATTAAACTTATTTATCATTTTCAACTATTTACTTAAATTTATGTTCAACTTTTCATCCTTTAGATCTTATTAAAATTATAAATATCTAAACGAAAACACATGTGTGTGTGTGTGTCACAAATGATGTTTAGGCTCACAAACGTGCACATAAAAGTAAGAAAAAAGAACACTGGTTTCTTTTATAAGAAACACAGTCATAATATTCCTGCAGCTTTGCTTTAGATCTTTAAATCCAATCTGGCCCTGACAACAGCATGAACAGACATTTGTTGAAAGGGTCACTATGTCCAATGTCTGTTTGATGTGGACAAGTGACAAGATAAGTGATGAAGGATATTACAAATAGCTGTGTTGCCAAGATGTTGCAATGTCAATTTCATTCCAATATAAGTGTTTAGCCCTTAACCATGTTAACTGTAAATCTAGGTGTGTAATAAATTGTCCCAAGAATGAAATCTGCAAAAATGGTAATACATTAACATCACTTTCTGCAAGGACTTGGCACTCCAGTCAAATGTAAATACAGTCAGGGAAGCTGACTTCTCAACTAAATTGGCAATTTTCACTCACAAGGTCCAAAAATAGAAGTCAGCCAGCTAAAACATTTCCTGTTTGGAGTTTCACATTCACAGGTCATTAAACTGAGAGCCCATTTTCAACACATGTCTAAAACGTCCATTTCCAAACTTCAAGTGATTCAGAAATGCTTGCACACACAATATGCACAAAGGAACCTTATTCAATAAAGCTTTGCATGAGATAATAATCATAATTGGTTACAGACTATAGCGTCTATATGAATGGCCAAGAGTAAGGTGTCTAGTTTCTCCATGCCCCCCATCTGTCGCTAGTGCATCCAACACAACCTCAAGAAGCACTTAGCCAATCACCTTGAATTCAACATTCTGATTAAGCAGGCATCCTTCATGTTCTTCTGAATTTATAACACATGGCTCATTATTGGTGACAGTAGACATGGCAGAGGCATGAGATGGGGAACCGTCAGTTGTAAACAAAAGGATCAATCCACACATGCATAAAAACAAGCAATGAAGGAATGTCAGGTGGATTCTCACTAAAGGGGGTTGGGCCCCCATCAACTCATTGTACTTCCCAAACGAATTCCTTACGTTTGCCATCCAGCCTATCTAATTTTACCCCATAAAAACATCTTAATAAGGTGTTTGAGTACATTATCATGATCTGTCTTATGAAATATGCAGCAGCAGTAGCAGATGGGAGTGTTTTGCTTTCAACAGCACGAAACACTGCCGGGCTTGGCATCTCCCCTGACCCAAATATGAGGTCACCTCGTTGAGATCAAAGCCACAACGATCATCTGGAGATTGTGGCGCAAACAAAGACAAGGAGAATTTGGCAGTTGCGATGTTTAACTTACCAAAACCTTTGTAAACCGTCTTTCTAACTCGTGAGCGTCCGGCATGGGGAGACGTATCGGCATGGACGTCTTTCGCTGTTCCAACCCTCGATGGTCGTGGCTGTTGGATGAAGAATTCCCCATCTTGTGCATGGGGATTTGTGTTTCTGGCGATACCTCGATGTCCCTAGGAGGTAGATGAATAAATCCACATGATTATTATCCTGGTAGAAAGTAAATCCAATGGTCTCTCGACATTTTTCACGCTAATATTTTGACTATGTCTCAGGGCGGAAGAGGAGAAAGGATTCGTGAGTCATCGTAACATCTCGCGAGATTTTGTTCGCAATAACACAAGGGAAGTAACTCCTGTGGTGTTTCATACCTTTGCCTAAATCTCCAAACAAAATACAGATATATCTAGGATCTTTTTATATCACAACAATAATTTGAAAAAAAGCTGAACAAATAAGTTCATATTTTAATAAAACTACTCGCTTCGGTTTTATCCCCTAGCTAATTCTGTCAATTTTCAAGGTTATTCAAGTGTGACAAATGTGAAAAGTACCGGACATGTTTGGCATTCCGTGTAATCACTGGTTATTTACGCCAACATTCTTCAGGATATCGTTTCCTTGATTTCCCGAATGACACATTTCATACGCAGTTATAGAGCGACATCTTGTGAGAATATGTCCCACTGACACATTGATCATTATGATATATAATTTGAACCAAGGCTAAAAAAGGAGTTAACATCCCCCCTTGGGTACAACATAGAAGGGGGGAGGGGGTGGGGGTATTTTAAAGGTGTATCAAATATAACTTGCATCTTTGTAACAACAACATAAAGGACTGGTCATTTATTGGGGGAGGGGGGCATTTATAAAAAACAAATAGCCTAGTTTGTTGTTGGTTTTGTTTTGTTTGTTGTTGATGTTTTGATGGGGTTGTTTTTTGTTGGTTTGTTGGGGTTTTGTTTTTAGTTTTGTTTTGTTTTGTTGCTTTTTTTTTGGGGGGGGGGAGGCATGGCACATCTATTTCAACATTATTTAGGAACTAGTCATTTATTATAGGGAGTTATACTGGGTCATGACAAAATTATACATAAATTAATGTGCCAAATATGACACAGTCAAAAATTACACAGAACAAATTACAAACATTATATTTCATGCTCATGTTCCACAATTCCTATATTTGTGTTTATTTTCAAATAACACCACAAATATAAAACACATAAAAGCATAATGATGTCCATCATCTGAAGCATTCAGATCAAGTTATTCGTAAATACATATATGGTGACAACCGAGTCTATAATATATTTCATGTTTTTCTGTAAAATTATGAATTGTTGACAGCTGGCAACCATTTGATTTTATTTACATACAACTGTATAGTCTATAGTCAGTCATTCAGACCCTGAAACATATTTATCCACTACAACCCTTGCAAGTCTATATTAGTTGTCAAGTCTAGATAGCTGCACTGAAAATGAAGAGTTTCTTGGCTCCTTTACATTATGTAGATATTTTAAGCTGAGTCAACAACTGTTTTTCCTGCAAAAAAAATTCACACAGAAAATTGATGTTCGTCTAATTTTGCTGAAAATCTGAAAACAAACACTACAATGAAATAACTCATCTGAGTTATAAAGTAAACAGCCCTTAATTATTGGATTATGGACATTAAAGAATCAAATAATTATTCTAACCTTATCATTCAATTCAATATATATATATTGTGTTAAAAAAACATTAACAGCTTCAAACTATGTGTTTGATCAGATACATGCATCCACGGTTTAGCTTCCTATTTGATTCCAACCCAATTCAGTTCAACGCCCGTATATTGACCTAGGCAACAAAAAAGCCTCTAAGAGGTCAACTGGGAACCTAGCACATGCGCTTGTATAACAGGTAACAAATTTGCGTGGCATTTGACTTTAGGCGGCGTCGTCTATACGAGTCAAATTCCTATGTTCAACTATATGTCTGTCCCACTCCGCTTTTCCTCGACAATACAGCCGCGACTCTATCATAGTGTAGACAGGGTGTGTACTGAATAGTGAACATAGGATCTTGTGTGAAATGTAAAGTGTATATTTGTAAACATCTGATCTTGGCTATATTTGCGACGCGCCATTCAACAGTACATGCGATATAAGCAGTGACTGCACACCTACTTGGTGTGTTTGCTCAAACTGTATACATAGCATATATCATGATAGCATTGTATATTCAGAATATATTACTGACATGAACATGACACATGCTGTACACATGACCTACATATTAATTTTGTAAAAGTGTTCATTTTGATTATAATCGATCAAAAGTTTAAAAGTTGATACACTCATATCGTCGAAGAGTTGAGCATTATTTCAAAATATTTTTGTAAAGTAGCCACCATTGCCTTTACAGATAATTTACTTAATGGTGGCTAAGTAAACAAAGGAGGAGTAAGATAGACGAGACTGACGCGACTCTTTTACTGAAAACCCGGGGCTACCCCGTATATATCTATCATATTAGACACAACTATTGAGGCATTCCATCACAAGCATCTCTGGAAGGGTAACATGACACGCTAAGAATATTCCTAGGTTGATTTACAGTTTGGGAAATATATCGCTTCCTGCTCTGATATATGGCGAACATGTACCCGAACATGCCGAAGCCGGATAGAGGAAGTACTCAACATACACTCGCCCTGTCTACATAGTATGTATACTGATATATAAGAAGCAAAATACCTACATATCGAACTGCATATCCGACCGCCCCGTCACGTTGTAGTCCCTGTACATGTTGCCGAATTCATCACTGTCGGATACAATGTGTGAGAAACTCCGACCTTTCCTCTGTGTTTGAGTAGGCCGGCCTATTTTGCATTTGGAGGCCTATTTGTGTTGTGAAGTTTTTAAAATGGGAACATAGCTGGCCGAAAACCTCCTAAATACTTTCCTTTCCCCTCGGCGTTGCCCTGCGCCCACCGTCATGTATCGGCGTGAAAGAGGGCTTTATGTGTCGCCGGCAGCACACAAGCAGGGAACTTGTGAGTGCGCGTGGGGAGAGCCTCGCGAAACCCGACCCCTCGCGCATGTAGTATCTACGCCTCACTCATTTGTATGGAATCAACAGAATCTCATCTCGCGGACAAATCAACCGTCAGCGCTGTTAAAGGAGTATGACCTACATTTGACATATATAAGTGTGGTGTTTGGGGCTTTTGTAATAATATATATGTGGGTTAGGATACGTAATAAAATGACCTTTTATTTCGGCCGTTTTGAGTTTGATTTTCATCACCCATTTGCATTATGGCCGTTTTAACTTGATTCCGATGTAATGAGCGAGTACGGTTTAACACTACTACTACTACTGCTGCTGCTGCTGCTGCTGCTGCTTCTACTGCTACTTTTACTACTACTACTGCTGCTACCGCTACTGCTGATACTACTTCTACTGCTACTACTACCGTTTCTACTACTGCTGCTGCTACTACTACTGTTACGACGATTACCACTATTGCTGCTACTACTACTACTACCGTTACTATGTGTAGACCGATGCTATTGCCATATGAGTGTGAACTGCTACACCATAAAATATTATTTCTACTCCTAATTTACGAGTATACAGTTACTGATCGTTACAACACTCTACATCTACATCTACAACTACAACTACAACAACTGGTGTTACTGTGCATGCTTGTTGTTAAACGCCGTATGATGTTTGACAGAAATAACATAATCTAGCTTGGTCCGTATCATTAACACATCCGTCGTAAGCACCGGAGTTGTCGACACGATCACTGAGGAGCAGTAGTGGTTGCAGTAGTAGCAGTGGTAGTGAGTGAGTGAGTGAGTTGGGTTGACACCGCCTTCAGAAATATTCCAGCTTTATCATGGCGTGGACATACTACTACTACTACTACTACTAGTAGTAGTAGTAGTAGTAGTAGTAGTAGTAGTAGTAGTAGCAGCAGTAGCAGTAGTAGAAGTAGTAGTGTTTGTTTTTGTTGTTGTTGTTGTTGTTGTTTAACGCCGCACTCATCAATATACCAGCTATATGACTGTGGTCTGTAAATAATCGAGTCTGGACCAGACAATCCAGTGATTGACATCATAAGCATCGATCTATACGCAATTGGGATACGATGACATGCATCAACCAAGTTAACGAGCCTGACCAGTGTTATAGCGAAGATAGAATGACGTACTACATCACTGAAGTTTTGTCGTTGTCCACAATGGTGTCTCGGGTATATAAAACAACAACGTCAACAACAACATTGTGTATTGAGGTATACCATGCAAACAAATGAACCGCTGATATCTACATTGTGTGTTCAAAGCATCACAACCCAGAACGATGATATCTTCAGAGACTATGACGCTGGTGGTGTTCTTACATACTTTGTCGTCATTGTCATTGTCGTTACATGTATGAACTGAGTGAATGTCGTTTTACGCTACAATCAGCAATATTACAGCTATATCACAGGCGTGTAAATAATGAAGTCTGGACCTGACATGCTTATGGTTGAAATGTGCGTCACCCACGTCGCCGAGGTGCGCTGACACTCCGTCAATCACGTCACCGAGCTGGACCACCTGATCCATTTAGACGGTCTTACGACAAGCAGGGATGTGCCAGGGACCTGGTCTAACCCTCACCCCGCAATGACATCACTGGAGGCAAAGACAATGGCGAATCCCAGTAGAATCGTTCAAGCAGCCAGTGTTAACTTAGGAATCTCAGAATTCACAATTAATAATACTGAACTAGTGTGACAGGAGCCAGTGAACGTGTCCATCGGATGGACGCGCCCTTCTTACCAGCTAGAGTTCCGGAGACGTGCGGTGTATAACAATCTTGTTTCCATATGTTCCTCATGTACACACGGTACTGGCCACACCCACACAGCAACGGCACTGTCTACGTTAACCCCCCCCCCCCCCCCCCCCCCCCTCCCCAGCAACGGCACTGTCTTGGTTACCCCCCACCCCCACCCCCAACACAGCAACGGCACTGTCTACGTTACCCCCCTCCCCTACCCCCTACACAGCAACGGCACTGTCTACGTTACCCCCCTCCCCACCCCCTACACAGCAACGGCACTGTCTACGTTACTCCAAACCCCTACCCCCCACCCCACCCCTATCCCCCCACCCCAGCAACGGCACTGTCTACGTTACTCTACCACACACACTCAACTGAATGGCGTTATAACACACCGACATATAATATAACAGAACTACTACTACTACCACCACTACCACTACCACTACCACTACCACTGCCACTGCCACTACCACTACCACTACTGCTACTGCTACTGCTACTATACGACTACTACTACTACTACTACTACTACTACTACTACTACTACCAAAAATACTACAACTACCACTACTGCTACTACAACCGCTACTGCTACCACTTTGGGTTGCTGAAGACTTTTTCTAACCCGGATCCTCAATGATATGAATGCAATGGAAAATGAAAGATGAGACTAAAAACCTCCTAACCTAATAATTTGTTTCTGTTGTCAATGCGTCAACAAATGGACTGTCTCATTTATTTGAGATGTTGGTCAGCTGTAGGCAGAATGAGTGCAGGCAGAATGAATGCCACTGCAAGCAGAATGAGTGCCACTGTAGGCAGAATGAGTGCCACTGTAGGCAGAATGAGGGCAGGCAGAATGAGTGCCACTGCAAGCAGAATGAGTGCCACTGTAGGCAAAATGAGTGCCACTGTAGGCAGAATGAGTGCAGGCAGAATGAGTGCCACTGTAGGCAGAATGAGTGCCACTGTAGGCAGAATGAGTGCCACTGTAAGCAGAATAAGTGCCACTGTAAGCAGAATGAGTGCCACTATAAGCAGAATGAGTGCCACTGTAGGCAGAATGAGTGCAGGCAGAATGAGTGCCACTGTAGGCAGAATGAATGCCACTGTAGGCAGAATGAGTGCCACTGTAGGCAGAATGAGTGTCACTGTAGGCAGAATGAGTGCCACTGTAAGCAGAATGAGTGCCACGGTAAGCAGAATGAATGCCACTGTAAGCAGAATGAGTGCAGGCAGAATGAGTGCCACTGTAGGCAGAATGAGTGCCACTGTAAGCAGAATGAGTGTCACTGTAGGCAGAATGAGTGCCATTGTAAGCAGAATGAATGCCACTGTAAGCAGAATGAGTGCCACTGTAAGCAGAATGAGTGTCACTGTAAGCAGAATGAGTGCCACGGTAAGCAGAATGAGTGCCGCTGTAAGCAGAATGAGTGTCACTGTAAGCAGAATGAGTGCCACTGTAAGCAGAATGAATGCCACTGCAAGCAGAATGAGTGCCACTGTAAGCAGAATGAGTGCCACGGTAAGCAGAATGAGTGCCACGGTAAGCAGAATGAGTGCCGCTGTAAGCAGAATGAATGCCACTGTAAGCAGAATGATTGCCGCTGTAAGCAGAATGAGTGCCACTGTAAGCAGAATGAGTGCCACTGTAAGCAGAATGAGTGCCACTGTAGGCAGAATGAGTGCCACTGTAGGCAGAATGAATGCCACTGTAAGCAGAATGAGTGCCAGTGTAGGCAGAATGAGAAGTCACTGTAAGCAGAATGAGAAGTCACTGATTCTCAATATGGGCACAAAACTATCACTACAAGTACTACTGCAACTCAGTGTCAGCAACTCCGATATGCTCAAGCCACCCCCCCCCACCCCCCACCCCACCCCCCCCACCCCCTCTCTCTCTCTCTCCCTCTCTCTCTCTCTCTCTCTCTCTCTCTCTCTCTCTCTCTATATATATATATATATATATATATATAACCTGCATGACTCACACGCACCTCAAGTGGTCCCATTGAAATCGCAAGTCAACAAAGTCTTAACAGTCATGGTTGATCGAGGCTGTGGCCTCCGATGCATAACAATCTAAAATGAAACGAGTCCGTCTTTAAGAAGGGACTCTCCTTCCTAAAACACAACATACAGAGATCACAGAATACCAGTGTCTTTTAGTATCCATCTTGTAAACACGAGTCGATAAACTCAGTGTGATTATCATTAACTCACCTTTTTCTGAAACCAATTGCCTCGGCCATGTCAGGTGTACGACGTCGACGGCAACAACACAACATCGCAAGTTATCCGCATTGAAATATCAAATTATAGGGTACTTGTAACAGTCTGTCTAGCAGTAAATCGCAAATGGCCACAAACTCGCCGGTTGCTTAGGTAGGGGTGGATCATACCAGAGTTCACAGGTAATGGCGTGGTGATATAGACATGTACGACCGTTGGCAACGAGCCAGTAACATTATATAACTGCTTATTTGCCAACTCGCCCGTTCGTCGTCTGCATGCCTGTTTACAACACAACAATAATCGTCTCGACACTAAAGGTGGGTCTGTAAAGGTTGGGTCAATATGCATAAGTCTTGTTGAGTGGCCGAGCGGGTTGTTATATAGCTGTGTGTCAACACTTTGGGGATCATAAAACATTATTCCTACCAATTAGCAGCTTTTGTGATGTGTGGGGATCACGGGGAAGAACTTGTGTTGTCGTTCACGCTTGGGTGATGGTGTCTGTCATAAACTGCACAGTGAGTGATGGGTGGGGGGAAATGGGTTTATGGTCGCGTTCAGGATTATTGTACAGTAAACTACGGTTATAACGAACACGCTTATAACGAACTGATGGATATAACGAACTTACTTTTTGGTCCCGACTATTTGCTGTAGTTATACTGTGTATATACTTATAACGAACTACGGTTATAACGAACTAAAATAAGTAGTCCCTTTAAGTTCGTTATAACCGTACTTTACTGTACTTATATAGTGACGTGCATGCACGTGTGCGTGCGTGTGTCTAGTCCGGGCTAACAGATACCCCACTCACACACAGTATACTGACCCCGAGCCGACCAGTCCTTGTTTTAGCCCCTTAAAAAGGTGAGGTGAGGTGAAATGGGGTTTAACGTCGCGTCCAAGATTATTGCGCTTAAATAGCGACGTGCATGTACGTGTGTGTGTTTGTGTGGCTGCTTGTACTTGTCCGGACTGATGCCGATTTTTAGTGCTAGCTCACTGAGATACCATGCCGCAGTTTAACACGAATATCC